TTTGTTTAGAATAATTTCTTTCAATGATATTTTGTATTTATATTACTGATTATTTGTATGATTAATAGGGCTAGGTGATTAACTCAACTAATCCCTACAATTGATTACCTATAAGTATCAATTATATCGATTAGTGTCACATAAAATAATTTATTAACCAAAACTATGATTAAATTGATGAATATCACAGAAATGATCAACATACCAAACTGTTTCTGATTATTACTGTTTGCAACTAATCTAACTATCCATTTCTCTTATGAGAATAATCTATGAATAAATTCCACTAACTTCTCAGCTTTAAGGATTAATGAGTTGATGTTATTGTTTTGCTTTTTCATTCCTACAAAGTTGTCACTGACATGTTTGGTAAAAGGGATAACGAATCAAATAAAGTTGTATTTGTTGTCTTGTAGTTTTTTCATGGATTGAAAGTCTTGTGTTTTTTTGTTTTGGTTTCACTGATTGTTTTGTAACTTTTCTTTGGGGTAACCATTTTTATGAATGAAAATCTAGGATATGATCTTTATTTCACCCTTTTAAGTTGTTCAGGATATGTGTGTGTGTGTGTGTATATGTCCAAGTATGATTTGAATTATATATTTTGGGGGTTCAAGTTTGTGATGTGGATGGCGTGTGGAATTCTGATCTACATATTGTTCTGAGTGTGGTGGTTTTTTCATAAGCACAGGTCTCAAATCCAATTGATTTCCTAATGATGCAAATATTTTTAAAAATTTCTTCATTTTCTATAGTGAAGTGGATGTTGAGGTGAATGTTGTTGATATGGTTTTAAAAAACATTGTTTCCCAAGTTAGAATTAAAACCATAAGAAAACTTCATTATACCTCATCCAGTGTGTACAGGTACACTTATGGCTTTATTAAAGGCAATCGTCTAGTTGAATGAGAAATACTGGGTAACAAACTCTGCCAATTTTGTGGAGTGAAACTAGAATAAACAGAAGAAAAATTGAAGAAGCTACATTTATAATGATAAAAAACTAAGTTCTATGACCAAATATCCTGAAACACCTAGTGGTTATCTTTACCAATTATAGTTCGTTTGATTCCACATTACATTTTTTTTTTTTTGTATTTTATACATTTTTAAAGTAATTATTGCCACCCATGTTAAATATTTAATTTAACAAGTGCTCTCCTAAAAATAATTGTTACAATTTGGATCTACCTAATGTAGGAAAGCCCCATTTGGCTGTAGTAATGTTGTACATTTATTGTGAATGCTCATACATTTTAAGAAGGAAAGAAACGCTGGGGAAGGGGGGTTTGTAAATGGACACTTGCATCTTTTTGGGGGTCAATTTTTCTTTGGCATCCCAAAATCTCTCTTGATAGCTACAAATTTTGATGGCCGTGTCCAAGTGGCACTTCAGAAAAAATAAAGTTCAAAATTAATTTTAAAAAATTGTACATGCATGTGGGAAGTACTAGGTATTGAGTGGCAATTTTACACACTTAAAATGGCTAAGAAAATATGCACCCCCCCCCCCTTCAAAAAAAGAGAAAAAAAACTTTGAAGCTCTCAATAACATGGGATATTAAATAAAAACCAAAATTATGGTATAGAAATTGAAATAGACGAATCAGTTGTTTTTTTATCTGTTTTGTTTCTTTAATGCTTATTGTTATCTACAAGTTTTGGAACAACCTTGTGTTTTTGTTTCATTACAAACCCCTTACGATTATTTAATGTACATGTTGTCTGGTAGTTTGTTTTTATTTTACTTGCTCTATGTAAGCTGTTTTGTAAAACATTAGAAGTTTATATACTGAAGGTAAATAAAAAAAAATATAATTTGATGTTCGTGTTCATTAATAAAAAAGTAAAGATACTGCATAACCTGAAGATAAAGAATTCTTTTTTTTACTTTTTTTTAAATTTGTTTATGCAGCCTTGATTGTACGTGAATATGTGTATCCAGCTGTATAGCATTATAAATGTTCAACACATGCAACATTTTACTGCTTCATTATACGTACTGTATTTACTTGTAAACTTAACATTCTTTTCTCAATGGTCAGATGTCCCATGTCATAAACCATCAACTGAAGTAAAAGAAAAATCTCACACTTAAGTAGTAGTTTACATCTATATGGTCCAAAGTTCAACCCAGAGTTTCTGCAATAGCTGACACTCAATTACATTAAGAAAATTCAGTTCTAGTAATTTATATGGAGAGTTCCTTGACCTTGAGGTCAATGGTAGCATATATTCTGCTTTAACTAGGTGAATTTCCTTGTAATTTATTTTCAGTCATAATTTTAATTTCTTCGACATTTTCACATAAGAAATAGCAACTGAATGTAACTACTAAAAAATCTTAAAACTTTTTAAATTATCATTTGTTCATACTTGACACCATATATGTAGATTAGGTTTTGAATGTTTTATGGAAGTACTGTTCTTTGTTACCATTGTGCTGATGTCTCTGTTGTATGCAATTCATGGGGGAGAAAAAAATGTATCACAGGAATTACTTGAATATCTTATATTTGTTAATTCACACAATATGTCATTTGTAGCAGCAAGGTTGTATTTTAAACATGAGATTTTCATTTGTTATTGTGTTGTTTAGTGACAAGAAAAAGGACAACCACATAGAGATTAATTGTTTGCTTACCTTAAAGAAGTTCCCATAACATTTTCTTATCAAGTCCCCTTATTTATGCAGACGTATTCAAACACATCAGCAATTTAATTGACTGATACTTTTTTCTACATTCTTTCTTTTTTTACTTTTGTCAATTAGTTAAAGAATGTATAGTAGTGTGTGTGTGTGATGTGGTTTTGTTTTTATTTAACATGGTATAGCCACTTTTTTGGACATAAGTTAAATAGAAGTTGTCTTAACGTAAACATTGGTAGTAAAAAATGTTTATTTTGTGTAGAATCTACCATTCATTTGATAGGAAATCTACAGTTTTGTTCTTATTGACTGAATTATTAATAATCAGAATAACCTACTTTTCTAGAACAATTATCTTCACAATATTTTTTTGTTACTCTTCCCCAGTATCTCATTAGTTTGTAATTAGATTCCCTTGCTATAGCAATAGCACACTTTATATGTCTGGTTTTTATCATTGCATTTACATAAAAGTCTGTTTACACAACAGCATTATAAAAATAAACTCAAAATAATGTTTCAAGTTGAATTAGATCAGTCAGTAACAACAAAGTGTAAGCCAAATTACTGTGCAGAAAGCTTGATAATGGTTTATAACTGTAGCTTTAGTAAGTTAGAAGCACAAAACAGTGACATTTATATATATATATAGCTTGGTTAGTAAGCAAATGTTTTGTTTATATAGATGTAGATAACAGCAAATCATTAATAATGTTCCAAAGCTAGAACAATTTCTGCAGATGGATGTGAACTAAAAATGAGTTTTTACGTTTATTTTATTAACCAGTTTTCATTGTGTAGAATATAATGTTGTGAAAATGTTAAACTTGTGAAGGTCCATAAATGTTTATTTTGTATTAGTTAACGGAATTATGAGCTAATACCTAAAAATACTTGTATTCAAGGTATTATAAAAAGACCTGCACAGTCCTTTTACTCTATTCACCTGACCATGTGGCTTTAGAGTCAGATGCTGTGCTAAACTAATTCTAGTGATTTGAAATCTTTGACATCCAGATTTTTTATGTTCAGAGATTATAAACACTAACATAAAATAAAACATGATTTTAGTATCAAATTGTGTGCTAAACTAATCATGATGTTCTTAAACCTTAACTTTCTGGTGTTGATGCTCGAAAATTCTATAAACCAGCAGTTGTGTTCGAAGTCAAAGTAGAGGAAATTGTGTAAACAAATTTGTTAATGTTTATTTGTGTACATGCTGAAATTACTGTTGGGCCTGTGTTGCACTGCCATGTATCCTGCAATGTACCTCTGATGATAAAATGAAATTTTAGTAAGGATTGTAGCAGAAGTTCAAGGCTTCTGTCTCTGAGATACAAATACACAATTTTATGTAACATAATTTTCAGAACCTTACATTTTAAAATGTTTTGTGCATTTAATTTCTTTCTGGAATGTTATTACTAGGAAATTTTGTGATAATATTATATTTTAATTTTTTCAAAAAATAAAATTAAAGTATAATGGACCTAGATTATCAACTTCCTTCTAATTTACCCAAGTTTGTCCTTAACAGGACTAACGGGTGTATTTTATAACAGTTGTTTTGAACTTTTCACCCACTGTGAACTTTAGCTCTTCTCTTTCTCATTTAGTGTTTAAGGGTAGATTAAGTTTGAGAATACTTTACTAATGTTGATATATATTTCTCCTAGTTGTACAGCTCAAGTTCCTCTGAAGCTAATACTAAGGTCTCACTAAAGTAAATGCTTTACTGCCATTTTGAATAAAATCCAATCATCGTGAAAATAAGAAGCAAAACAATATTGTGAAAAATGGGAAAATGTTTAGAAATTCAGTTTATCAAGTAGTGTTCATAATTATGTACCCTTTATTGAAATGATAATTTGATTCTCCTAATGTTATTGAATACGGACTACTTCATTAGATTTACATGATAAACTGTTACTGTACAGAAATACCAGTCACGTGCAAATGTGTAGTTCGCTACGTAAAACATTGTGATGAATGATGTGTTTAAAAATAACCAGGTTAAATCAAGAAATTCAAGTCATACTGACATGATCATGCAAAACCTATACCGAGTTACTTATAACTTTATAGATTATATATATTGTCTTTTAAGTTGTGCATAGTTCTGCAGGTTACTGAAAAAAAAATAATAATAAAATTTTGCTGGTATAACACTGAAAATATTTTGTGTTTACTAGATTGTGATTGATTTTATAGAAACCAAAGATTTTTACAGGTAACACTTTTTTACAATAATACATTATGAATGGGTTTATTTATTACATGAGTAAATTAAAATGTGTAATAATAGCATATTATGTACACGTATACTAAGATCTTTGGGGTTTTACAGCTTGCACGAAGAAATCGAAAACTTTTACCAATACATGATGCCAAGTCCTGAGGAGCATCAGATGAGGATTGATGTGGTAGAAAGAATAAAGCAAGTAATCACATCCTTGTGGCCTCAGGCAAAGGTAAAATATCTAATATTTTGTGGCACTTTATAGAAACTTGAACTTCCCGGTGCTTAGATTATTTTATGCTTTAAATTAATACCTATATTGAAAAAAATAGCATTTTTTCCAGTTTAACGGTCATATTACTCAGAGATGCAGTTGAAAATTGTGTGTGTGTGTGTGTGTATATATATATATGTATGTGTGTGTGTGTTTGTGTACATGCAAGGCAGGTGCATATTATTCTTCAAATGCTTTTGCTTTGTGTGAAATTATCATGAGTGTTACAGTTCAATTTTACATTTTTGAGCCTAGATTATGCTAACCAGTAAACTATTATCTCTACTTTGAGAGGGTGTGTTATTTAACCATAGAATATTTCATTGTATTTTCGATATTTTTCACACCTCTCTTTGACTTTTACCACTCACAAAATTGTGATGTCTGCAAATAAAACCAAAAGTAATATTTACATAACACATTAATGGACTGTTAATTTAGCTAATTAAGCTGTTGACCAACTTATAAAGACACACATTTTATTATGGTTTGTTTTTCTTTGGTGAAGTTAGGTATTTACATTTTTCTAATCCACCAAGACTTATTGCACATATTTTGGGAAGATTTTACATACTAAAGTTGCTATGGATACATGGTATTCATGGTAGAAACTCTTAACTACTTAATAACAATTTAATCTTTTTTTATACTAAATAACTGATGAAAAAATAATAGAAAAAACACAAAGTCAGACAACAATCATCAATTTGTGAATAAATGATCAACAAAATACAAAGAAATGATGATAATGGTAAAATTAGCCTAACATCTGCCCTGATACAGATTTTTAAATCACTTGCCAAATTCTTCCTTTAAATTCCTTTTTAATTATTGGATTTTTGTAACATTTTTATGTAATAACTTAAATGTATTTTCAACAGTTTGAGAATGTTGTGTTAGTGCACTCTGAGGGAGTGTGTATTTGGTACTATCACTTCATTTTTTCTTAGTTTAATAGTTTACATGTAAATAGTTTGTTTCTGCAAGTCTGTTTTTGGATATGTTGGTGGTTTGGCCAGTTTTATTTTCTAATCTTTTATTATGTTATTGATATCTGTCTGAATGTTATTTTATACTACCTAACCAAGTTCTAGATATAATCATTGGGAAAGTAACTTTTAATTATGTTTTGAATCAAGTAGTTCTGTGCTATTTTAGGAAAATTTGTATTAATAGTGATTAATAGAGTTGGTCAAATCATATGGGCTGTTGCAAAACCTTTTTGGATGATGGTTAAAAAACAGTGATTTTAGGTTTGTATTAGGGTAAAATATTACTAGCTTGAAAGTTTGATCTGTTGGAAATGAAAATATATTTAAATACATGTAGACAAATGTGCTGATACTGTGTGTGAAGTTAACAGTTTTATTATACTACAGTATCTACTTTTCTAATGTGATGTGTTGGATTAAACAGCAAAAGGCTGTTGTTGAATTGAAAATTATTTTTAAGTTCCTGTTACGGAATATGAATTGTGTAAATTTTTTGACAGTAGTTACAGACCATTCAGACTGAAAAGGGATATAAAATATTTGGAACATCTAACATAATGTTTTGGGTCAGTATCATGATCTAATCACATTTTTATTGTTAGTTATTAAAGTTTCAATCAGGTTGAACTTTTGTCTAGAAGAAAATTTCCAAACGTGATTGTCCAAGTAATAATAATAATAATAATAATTATAGACCATTCAGTTAGTGTGGCAATCTGGTAGCTGTATATATGTCTTTACGATATATTTCATTGAGGTTGAGAAAGATTTTCTCATAAACTGTGGTGAGTTATAAAATGGCATTAATTTTTTTTCATTACAGTTTATTAATTTGTATTAAGTTCTGTAATAATAGCTATAAATGGATATAAGAACATCTATTACGACTTTGCATACAAAAGGTATTTAATGACATAAGCATCGAAAATTTTTGCTGGTGAAAATTATAAATGCAAAACAAATCAGCATTTGGAAGTAGCACAGTGTTAAACAGTAATTTCATGGTATGCGCTCTGCTGAGAACCTTCTTCAGTTCAGAATTTGGTATAAAACTTGTGCTATAACTGAGCACTTTTAATTTTATATTACATAATTTACCCTTTATGAATGTTCCAGATATAATAATAAATATATGGTCCATTAGAATCCAGTGTTTTTGAGGGGATAATAGAAACTAATTTTTGTATTTCTTAATTAACAGGTTGAGATTTTTGGAAGCTTCAGGACAGGACTCTATTTACCAACCAGGTAAAAATTTTATTTAAACAATGTCATTTGGTAATTTCAACTTAGAATATACCATAATACGTTCAAGGAAGACATCTTGGTTCTTAAAGATGTGTAGAAAACATGTTTATACAGAAAAAAAGAATAGAAGGAAAAACAAAATTAAGTGATAGCTCAGAGAATAACTCAAATGACTTTTGAGAAATTTATCATATATATATTAGCCTTCAGATCCACGCTCAAATAATAGTGTATTTAGTTGTGATCGTGATTTAAATATACAGTACTGTAGTTTATTGATGGTAGTAGCTAGCTTTATTTTCATGATAACACCAGGGTGCGTCTCCATACTGTAGTTTAATCATGACAACAGTGTGTAATACTACTTTATTTTATTGAACATTTTATCTAAATTAGGAGTAAGAGAAAATTAACTCATCCTGATCTAATTTAATGAAGACAGCAGGCAGCAAGAGTTTGTTCTATAGCAGAGTACAGTGCAATATTTTATCTTACTGGTTATATAAAATTCTAAGACCAAAAGAACCCTATTGAAATACTGTCAGTAATGTAATTGACAGTCACAGATGCTGGTGAAATACTGACAGTAATATAATTGACTATCACAGACCTTGGTGAAATACTGTTAGAAATGTAACTGGCTGTCACAGACTCTGGTACTTCCCTGTCAGTAAAGTAATTGAAAGTCACAGACTAGTAAAACAGTGTTAGAAATGTAATTGACAGTCACAGATCATGGTTAAGTACTGTTAGTAATGTAAGTGACAGACATGGACCTTGGTGAAATACTGTCAGTAATGTAATTGAAAGTCACAGACCCTGGTGAAATACTGTTCCACATGTAACTAACATTTACCATTTACTAACCCTTGTGATTCCATTGTCATCAAACTTGACATAAACCTATCTTTGTAATGTCAAAGCTACTAAGACTGTCTACCACTGTTACTAATTTGGAAATGCTGATTACCAGTAAATCAACTTCTGGCAGGACATGCTGCTAACTTTTTTTTTTTAATTTTATTTTAGATTAATTAAATGTAATCTAAGAAAATACCACTCATCTTCTAGCTCTGTTTTTTAGCCTTCAGTTTCCAAAAATTGGGGTTGATCAACTGATCTTTTGAACTGTTTGAAGTAAATGATGATTCTATTCATTAAGTCTGTGGTAAAAGCTATAAATCCCTTATTTTATGGTTGTTGTTGTTTTTTCTCTCAGTAAGTAAACATTTCACTTTCTGACTTTGCTTGTATGTATGTAGTTTTTATAGACAATTAGTTCAACATACATTAAATTAGTTTTTTGGCTCCTAATTCTTTAGATGAGCAATCAGTCTTTTGATTTCATTCATTTATTATAAATAAGAAAGAAACATTAAAATTGTAATGGAAGGTAGAGATAGTTGGTTAATCATAGAATTGCTATGAGAAGTATCCAAAATAAATGCTGCAATAAAAAGTACACAAACAAGTAAAGTGATACTAGTTGGATAGATTTTAAAAAGATTTTCAATCCCTAGTTTGGTTGGCATTATGATCTGTATAGTTAAATGAAGCAGTCTAAGTTTACCAACCAGAAAACCTGTTTATTTGTTCAGTTTTTATATGTCCATGGAATGGACACATCTATAAACTTTCAGTATAGCCATATACCTGATAGCTATAACGTTTACAAGAATTAAAACCACAATCATAAACTTATAGAATTTAATCCTTACTTTGGCCTACAGATAAGTGTATAAAGCTGCCAAAGTAGTGATTAAATTTTATAAATTTGTGATTGTGGACTTAATTCCTGTTTCATTACTTTTTGTAGCAGGATCCCTACTTCATTTTAAAATTCATAATTTTTTGATACTCTTGTTTGTTTACTTTTTATGTTATACCTGTAAAAATTATATACTATACCTTTAGAAACTGCCATGTCCATTAATATTTAGTGCCATCTGTTGGGCTGAAAAGATATGCTTACAATTTGTAAAAAAAAAATCTGTATATATTTATTGGAATATCAAAAGTGAATACCCACAGATCAGTCAAGTAAATTAGAGAAATCTTGTAGCGGTAGCCCGAACCATTTATGGGTTAGCCCCACTGATGTGATTAGGTTGGTAGTAGATGAAAAAGTTGCTGTTTTAGAAATTTTTCAATTGTTATTCCGGAAATGTTAGCAACTTTTTTAGCATATTATTAGTACATATGCGCGTAATATATTTTGGCATATGAGTTATTTGGAATCCTTGACAATCCCTACTATTAAGTACTACTATACTTAATAATACTTGCTATATTACTTTTTGCTACTACAACTGTTTTTTTTTCTTTCTATAAACTAACTATTTCTATCTAAATATCTCCTTGACATATTCTACCCAAATATTAAACAACTGTATTTGTTAAAGATTATCCCTCTGTTCATTTATAAACCTTTATACTATCTAGACCAATTTCAGTTACTGTAAAGTTAAAATATGAATTGGGAATAAACCAGTTAATTTTGTTGCTAGCTTAGTACAAACCTTTTTTAATATACTTGTAAAATACTTTGTGCATTTATGAAAATAAAACTACACTGTTGTTAAAGTAGTTCTGTGAAGTGTCAAATTGTTAAAGAAATTTTTCAAAATAATCAAGTCTTAACTTTTTTTTTGGTAGAATAGTAGGTTAGTACTAATAGTGCTTATAGGATTTGTCATGTGCATGTCTGTATGAAATTGTATTAGATAAAGTTGTCTTTCATGAGATTTTTATATATCAATTAATTAAAAGCCTTTTTTAGTTTGTATTATTTATTATAGAAATTATTGTCACCTTATCTTTGCTGTTGCAGTGACATCGACTTAGTTGTGATAGGCAAGTGGGAGAGCTTACCATTATGGACCTTGGAAAAAGTTCTGGTGGAAAGTAATATTGCTGACCCCTTGTCAGTAAAAGTGCTTGATAAAGCTTCCGTAAGTGTGCAACTGTTTTAAGTGTAACTGAAGTATGTAAACAAGTTTCGAGTTGTGATAAATTATTTGTATACATCTCACTTGTGAGAACTACTTAAACAAGGATTGTATATAATATAAAAATGTGTTGCCTATCTTTTAGCTACTCTCAGATATTAACAAAATGTATAGAGTTAAATCTCATGAAATAATTAATATCTGAATGTCTGGGAACCTTGAATGCTATGGATGAGAAAAATAATTTCCTATGGAATGTATCTGCATGGAAAAAAAAAATATTGATGACATTTGCATCAAGTCCTTGAGTGTTGACATTGCTTTAGTTTCAAGCATGGTTATATCCTTGTAGACCTTGGACTATTAATGTGTGTGTAAGATAGAGAAGATTGACATTCTGCCACTTGTAGGCAGTATAGAGGGAAAATTACAACACTATAGCATCTTTATCTTATCACACTAAAGGATTTCAGTATAGGGAACTGTCTCATGAGGCAGCTTTGCCAAGTTATTAAAAAATAATCAACAAAAATGATATAATAAAAAGAAAGTAATAAATATCTTTAAAAAAGTACTAACAGTGTATGAACCAAATAACCTTTATAGCTTCTACAGTTTTATTACTTTAGCTATTTTGTTACCATATTTGTTATTGGAATGAAATTTGTTTTGCGTGTATATGTACATTTGGCTGATACTAGAATTTATTCAATGATCAAGAGAGTTGTTGAATTTGTTTTTGAGTGAAGTGTGAAGGTCACTGACCAAAACGAAAATGAGCAACTTTGGCCAATTGCAACACATTGTTTTAGTGTTTCTAGTCACTTTTTATGGCTATGAATTCACTTACTGAAAGATAAGTTTTCTTGTTATTTAAAATGTGCTGTTTGTGAAATTATTTAGATTGTTAACATCAGTGTTAAAAATTAGCAATCGATGTGTTCGAAAGCAAACAAAGTTTGATAATAAACAAGATTATGACACTTAT